TTAGTAGGTATGTAACGAGACCGAGAGCGAGACCGGGGTTCTCGTATACTCGCTCTCGTACCCGGGTATAGTCTCGTAGTCTCGTGTCTCGTTAGTAGTCGTATAATAGACTAAAACCTGATACTATTTCATAATCATTTATTTTAATTCAATGCTTTCCATTTGTGACTAATAACCATACTTCTTGCTAGAACACATAGGTACTTTTCTGTTCACTTTTCTTTAAGCAATCAAACCGAAACTTGATGCTTTTTCAGTTGCTGTTTGCTTTTGAAAAATTAGTTGCGTACGGAGTCTCATTTTTTTCGGAAAAAACAATCGGTCCCTTACGAAATGAAAACACGATTTTACACTGCTCAGTCAATTTGGACAAACATTGAAGTTTTTCCAACTTAAAAGATAAAGAAACTTTGTTTGTCAGCAAAACAAAAAATGCATAGGGCCTTCATACTGAAAAGCTAATAGAATCGCTCGACTTCAAATGGTGGGGTGTGTCGAATATCTTTCGATATCCGGACATCGAACTATCTGGGTCAAGACGGTTGATTTTTTTCTTCTTCTTCTTTTATTTTCATATCAAGTTACAATGAACGAGCAAAAAGGTGGATGGATAGTAAAACGCTACTTTTGCTCGTAACTTGTTGTTGTTGTTGTTGCTAAATGTTCATTCATCGTTGTACACAATTTTGTCCTTGAGATACATGGACCAGCAAAGTATTTGAACATTTAGTCGACTTCTCTATTTTCTTGCTAGATATGAAGCAGTTGAAAATACAGACTCAGCTGGCACTGAGGTAGGAGACGTAGAAAGATGTTTATAGGCTAGTGCTTGAAGAATAGGTAGACTATCGCTATGTGTTCGCCAAAAATCGAGAGCATGAGGAATTTTGCCTTTACTAGTTATCATATTATAGGTTTCAATTGCCAATGAACTATACAATATAAGTTCTTCACGTACAGTTAATGTCTTCGATGATGCATTTGGCTTAGTTTGGCCCACAGATCCAAGAAAATCGAATAGTAAATTGTCGCCCTTCTTCACAGACGTTTCATTCATTTTTTTGGGAATAGGTGTGGCCACAGTGATGTTGTTGTTGCTCGAAGAAATGATTTCTTTTTCTATTAACTTCTTGTTATCACCAAGACAAGAATGCCCGGCGAAGACAACGGTAAGATTTAGTTTTTCTTGATTCTTACTAGTTAGGAAACTTGCTAAAGTGTTGTTCTCCAAGTTCTGTCACTTATTCGGCTTGTCCGCATCATGATACACTTAGTTCATCAAGTATTTTCAGCACGA